CTCATCAAATGTTAGCCAAAATACTGAGTTGCGTTTTCGATTCGAACAGATTGCTTAAGTAGGCTTGTTATGCTAATTACTGTAAAGCACAATCCGCAGAGATTTCAGTCACGTTAGGATTCCGGTTTTCGAAAGAACCTCTTTCCGACCGCCTGCAAAAATTACACTTGATAAAAAGTGAATACTTGAGTAGCATGAAAAGTTCTCATTGATTTTCTATGCTTTTATAAATTTAAATATATTTCATGAAAAACAAGAATGAAAATATTCATTCTTTTACTCATTTGGTAGAAAATTACGTCTTCTTTAAATTTTATACCTGAAAAGAGGGTATAATTCGGTTATAAAAAATTCTAAGACCGCGAAATTTCCGTTGATAAAACATCGTGTCTTTGCATTTACCAATGTTGCTTGTAAGGTTTACAATATGGCTCAAATCCACTGCTAAATTTCATAAAACTCATGTGGCCTCCTCTTAATACCGTATGAAAATGCATGATTTTACGCACACGGAAAATACGCATCTTGTAGTTTGAAAACCCTGAATGCAAGTGCGACAGCAGGTCGGGTTCCAAAGTATTCGGGAATTAGAAAAGTTTTGTAAAGCCAACTTATACCCTTCTCTCAAGTACAAACTTTACAGAAGACGTAATTGTCTACTAAATGAGCGAAAGAATGAATATTCTTATGCACATTTGTTATGAAATATATCTCACTTTGTAAGGGCATCGGAAATCAGTTACAAAATGCATGCTATTTATGTACTCATTTTTTTCTGAGTGTAACCTTCGCAAGCAGCTGAATATAAGATCTCTCGAAAGCTACATTCTAATGTAACTGAATTATTGTGGGATTATGCCGCACGGTGATAAATATTGCAACTCTACCCAAGTAATTTTTTGGGTCGAAAGCGCATTTTAGAATTTCGGTTAACATCACATGAGTTAGCGCATCTACTCTAGTTTTGATTGTGCCAGTAGAGAGAATATGACTGCCTCATGCGGATGGGAGCCTTATAGCAGACCAGTTTCGGGTCATCGCAACGAAGCCATCTCACTGAATTTTGAAGAGAATTGAAAGAATGAGAGAAGGGGGGGGGAGAGGGAAAGATAGATTTGAGCGGATGCTGTGTAACTCTCCCCTGCCACAGTCTACACCACACAGACAAGCCACCACTGACTCGCTGGCATGATGGTGATCATATTCCGATGAGCGAACCATCACAGTGAGCTTCGTTCAGGCACAGAATCACGATCACTTTCTTTGACACCCTCCCCCCCCCCATCCAAAGTAGGACATGTTCGATAACCGTTTTAACACGCTGGAGGTCTGCCGTAAGGTGCGGACGTGGAAACGTACAAATACAACAGCCTCTGTGTGGGTTCAAAACAGTCTGGAGAGGCGACACACGAATAAGCCTGAAACAGCTGCTATTTCACTGCCCCGTTTCTCTCAGTTTTTCCCCGATGTTATTGCCCATCCGATTGCTGTTCACACAGTTCAACTCGCCAATAGAAGCGAAGAGACGAGTCCCAGGAATTAGTCTTGGAGAAGGAGGCACGATCGCCGGGACAAGAGTTTTACTAACCCGACGTTTCGGATTCCTGGTTGAATCCATCATCAGAGACATAAGCAGATAAGGGTGGTTCGTGCATATGCGGCTGCAGTATTTATAGGATGCAGTAGCCATGCTACCGCATACCTATGAATAATCACGCCCCCCCCCCTTCATCAGGGATCGTTGCACGTGGCGTGATGGCTGACATTCGCGTCGTTAATTGCTGAAATTTCATCCCGTGCGTTGGATGTTGGTGTGATGATTGCTCGACCATCTGACGCGCTGACTCGGGTGTTGGGAAGGGTTCACCTGTGGGCTCTCCGCGTGGCCAATTACTCGGCCTACGCGAAGTCTCAGCACGGAGTATTGAAAGGGAAGATCATTGCACTTGTTAATAGACTGGGGGCCAGTAAACCATGACTCAAGCAGCTCCCGGCTCACCCGGTTGTCACCTCTTGCGAGAATTTCGGCCTCTTCAAATTTGAATGTGTGGCCGTAACCGGTCGAATGAGCCGCAACTTGAAAGCTAACGTCATTGCTTCGCACCGCTGCAGCGTGTTCGGCCATTGGCGTTTGGAGTTGTCTTCCGGTTTCTCGGACGTAGTTGCTTATCCGCAACTGCATCAGATCCGATAAACGACTCCAGACGCTCCTAGCCGTGGCAGCGGGTCTTTCAGTTCCATTACCAGACGCCTGATGGCTGCCTCCGGTCTGTGTGCAACTCCAACTCCATGTGGTGCGAGAAGGCGGCCGACAGCTTCCGAAACGTTCTTGACATATGTCGATCGTGTCTTCTTCTTCAATAGTTCAAATCGGTCAAATCTGTCTTATCAACTCGCTCAAGCGAGATGGAGATTATCTTAGTGATCTTACAAAGACATGTTAGGACATGCGTCCGGCCAGAGTCCACCACCGTGACAAGGTACAGAAAGTGGACTAACTCATGAAATGTCAACCGGAATTCCGAAAAGCGTTTTCGTTTCGAAAAGATTAATTGAGTATGGTTGTAAAACTAGTCGGCCTGCAAAATACTTCAGTTATCTCAGGACGCCGGCTTTCAAACAAACTGCCTTCCGGCTGCATGCAAAAACTACACTCTGTAAAAATCAACTACTTACGTAGCATGAATTTTTATGGTTGATTTTCGATGCTTCTTAATGTCCAACTAAACTTCCTTGAAAAAATGCATAAAAATATTCAATCTTTTGCTCATTCGGTAGAAAAATATGTCTTTTTCTTATATGATTTTCGAAGAAACGGCATAATTCGGTTTTAAAAAAGTTTCTGATTGTGGGACTTTTATATACCGTAAAATGGCCGTTCATAAATCTTCATGTCTCTGCATTTGCTAGTGTGGCTTGTAAAGTTAACAGTATGGATCAAATCCACTGGTAACTTTTATGAACCCTATATAGTCCCTCCGTATATCCGTAGAAAAATGTTCTATTTTCCATGCGCGAAAAATACATAACTTGTAGTTTAGAAACCCTGAATCTAAGTGTAACCTAGAGCGGGTTCAAAACTATTCGGGAATTGGAAAAGTTTTCGATTACCGAATTATACCCATCCTTCGAGTACATGATTGGAAGAAGACGTTATTGTCTACCGAATCAGCAAAAGAGTGAATAGTTTCATGCATTGTATCCACGAAATATAATTTGACTTTTAGGGACATCGAAAATGAATGAGAAAAATGCATGTTACTTAAGGAGTCATTTTTTACGGAGAGTATTGTTGCATGCAGCTGGAAGAAAGTTTGTTTGAAAGCCGGCGTCCTGAGGTAACAGAAATATTATAAAATTATGTTGCAGGCTGTCTAGTTTTACAACCCTTCTTAATTAATCCTTATGGAAACGAAAACGCAGTTCGGAATATTGGTTGACACCTACTGTATCGGACGAGGTCAGTCGGCCATTTTCATCCCTAGCTATACATGTTTTTAGACTGTCTGCCTTTTCTAAATTATCAGTTATGACTGCCATTTCTCCCTGTCCATTGAAAGGACAAAAACCTGTCTGAGGGTCGCCCACACCCTTTGGCCTTTGATTTTGAGGATTCTATTAAAACTAGTTTATACTGGTGCCGATTGTACCTTTCAGGCTTGCTCGGCCGCAGTTATCCATGAAGGCCTACCACGACGGTACCACCTGCATCAGTCCGACCAACGACCTCATACTGCATGGCGAATGCGTTGGGCAATGCGGCACTTCACCAGCCTACCAGTGGGATCTGCAGATATTAGCAGACGATGGGGAGCTGCAAAACCTGACGACTTCAAAACTCCTCGGAGTTGCAGGCGGTGAGCTTTTGTTAGTTTTTTTGTAGAGAGAACTTAGACTTCTGAGGAGTCGCCTCTAAATGCACACACGACAGTTCGACCGTCGATTTCGACGATGTCCACCGTGTGCCCCACAGACTGCATTGTGAGAGCAGGGACGGTGACTTACGCAGGGGTTTATAGTGCCTGTAGACTTGCGTAGCGTCTACCTACACTCTCTCCTCCTCCGCCTGGGCCCGGTGTCAAGACAGAGTCAAGAAGACCGGAGACGAGGAAGGCCGCAGGTGGATGGCTCGGACGAATCCTCACCTTGGCGTTCCACCACACCCCCTGGTCCACACAACAATGACAGGGATTTCAACCAACACAACAGAGATTTGGAGGCTGGCACGGCCGAAGCCGCACCTGGGCGTGCCGCCAACGCCTGGCTCGGATCCCACACTGTGGTAGGAGTGCCATAGAGGCCACATTAAAAAGGAGCCATTGCAGCCTGACTCTCAGACCGCCTCCCGTTAAGGAGGAGGTCCAAGGTATCCCGTCAGTTGGCAACCTTCCAAGCCACGGTTTTTAGCGCACCGTGATAGCTTCAAGCGCGTCAGATTGTTTATAGTGAGGAGAAAGTGCGCTGAGTCGTCGACCTCACTCTCCCTTCCCATTCCCACACCCCAGCCGCTGTCCGAGCCGGTCAGCAGACAGGAGTGGGGAATGGGCGCGGTGGCTGACATGGTCGACTGACCATGCCTGCGCGCGCCACAGCACGACCTGGCCTCCCATACACACAAACACCAGGATTTCACACAACGGAGGTTCATCGGCGTGTCTCTCACTTGCGTGAGAGTGCCGTGGAAGGTGCTGTTTCAGCCCGTCCCCAGCCCACCAGTCCGCCACTACCTACAACACATACACAATGTGACGAACTGCGCGAACCGAGAGCGGGCCTCAATCAGCAACCTTCCTATCCGCGACACTTGACGTGTCGGGATAGTCTCGGACACAAGTCACCCGTGCAGCCGAAGCCGCATGGGGACCGAGTCGAGATGCACACTTCCCACTTGCGTGGGAGGCGGCAGTTGAGTGCATGAGGTGTGTGAGGGTTGATGTCTGATGGGGTACTGGTGTTAGGAGGTAGGGGGTGAGGGAATGTGTGGCGTGACCGGCGGTTGTCTACCGCCGGTCGTCGTGGATGCGCATGTGGCCGAATAGACCCATGCGATGCGTGAAGGTGCGAGGGCAGTGTGGGCAGTGGAGGCGAGTGCGGTGAGTGTAGGTTGGTGCTCCAGGCACTGGTTCGCCAGTCTCTGTGCGGTGGATTCGCAAGTGACCGACCAGGCCGATGTGTGAGGTGAAGATGCGGTCACAGTGAGGGCAGGTGTAGTCCTGATCCTCATCAGTGGTATCGGGAGAGGTGATGTCGGTTGTTGTGTTGGGGTTGGTGATGTGTGAGACAGCAGTCTGAACGGCCGCCGCTTGGGCAGTGGAGAGGGAGGAGGACGACGAGGAGGAGGATGGAAGTGGTGGTGCAGGAGGAGTGTCAGAGTTAGTTGGCGGCAGAGAGGACGAGGAAGAGGCGGGCGGAGGACGATGGCTGGAGCAGTTCGAGAGGTGCAGTTGATCCGAAGATGTCCAACAAGTCCGATTCGTGCCCGGAATGTCCGTTGACATCGAGGACACGTAGGGAGAGGTTGTGCGGCGGCGTTGCGGACTGGGCGAAGTTGTGATTTGCGGGCTTCGCGTTTCGCTTTGGCGGCGGCGATTCGGTTGGCTTCATAGATAGCAGCGCCCGTCTTCACTGTTCTCCTCCATGTCGGACGATCGCGGGCGAGCTCTTCCCAGTTGGTCGGGTTGATGTGCAGGCGCTTCAGGGAGGACTTCAGGGTATCCTTGTAACGGCGAATCTGGCCTCCTTGACGACGAGAACCCGTCGCGACGTCTCCGTAGAAGAGTCGTTTGGGTAGTCGCTCGTCATCCATGCGCACCAGGTGGCCGCTCCAGCGCAGCTGCATTTGTCTCAACATGGAGTCGATGCTTAGAATTCCCGTTCGTTCCAGTACTTCCGTGTCGGGGATTCGATCCTGCCAGTTCAGCCTCAGGATGCGACGAAGACAACTGAGATGGAAGTGATTCAGTCGGCGTGCCTGCCTCGTGTACACCGTCCAAGTCTCCGCTCCATACAGTAGCGTCGGCAGGATGACGGCCTTGTACATCTTCAGCTTCGTGCTCAGTTGGAGACCATGACGATTCCAAACTGTGCGTTGGATGCGACCGAAGGCTTAACTGGCTTTCGAGATTCTGTTGGCGACTTCGTCGTCGATCTTGGTGTTGCGGGAGAGCGTGCTGCCCAGGTACGGGAAGTTCTCTACCACTTGCAGTTGAGTCCCATTCACGTTGATTTGCGGCGCGTTGGGGGCTGTGGCTGAGTTGGGAGGCGGCTGATGCATCACCACCGTCTTCTGCGTGTTGATAACCAGCCCAAAGTTCTCGCAGGCGGCGGAGAATAGGTCCATGCTCCGTTGCATCTCCTCTTCTGAGGTGGTGTTCAGGGCGCAGTCGTCGGCGAAGAGGAGTTCGTGCACGGTGGCTGTGGATACACGCGATCGGAAGTTCAGGCGCCGGTGATTCAGGAGATGACCGTTCGTTCTATAGGCGATGCGGATTCCAGGGCGTTCGTCGCGGTAGGCGTCCATCAGCATGGCAGAGAACATGAGACTGAAGAGGGTAGGCGCCAGCACGCAGCCCTGCTTCACTCCGTTGGTCACTGCGAATGCCTCTGAGACAGCTCCGTTGTCCGTGACTCGCGCCATCATACCGTCGTGCAGCTGACGCACCATCTGAGTGAATCGCTCCGGACAGCCGAATTTCTGCATAATCTTCCACAGTCCTTCACGATTCACCGTGTCGAAGGCTTTCGTCAGGTCCAAGAAGATAGAGTACAGGTGGGTCCGCATCTCCTGGCACTTCTCCTGAAGTTGGCGGGCTGCGAAGATCATATCCGTGGTCCCGCGATGACGACGGAAGCCGCATTGGCTTTCCGGCAGAAGGCCCTGTTCCAGATGGTTGTTGAGGCGGTTGAGCAGGATGCGAGCGAAGATCTTCCCGACGATGTTCAGTAGGGAGATGCCGCGGTGGTTGTCGCAGACTTGGCGATTCCCTTTGCGCTTGTATAGGTGCACGATAGTTGCGTCCTCGACCGAGGACGGCGAGCGCCGTCGATTGGACTGTGTCACGCAGTTGACACCAACGGTTCTCCACGGAGGCGTTCTCGGCAGCGGCGGCGCGTCGTCGGCGGCGGCAGCGATAGGAAGGTTGTCTAGCCGTTGAGCTAGCTCATTGCTGAAATGGAGACGGTGAGCAGGCAAAGACAACAAAGCAACATTCAGCTTACCTGGGGGTCGCTTACCTTGTGGTCTCCTGCGAGGCTGTAGGCGAATACGCATCTTCGAGATGACGAGGCGATGGTCGGTCCACCCGTCAGCACCCGCGATCGCCTTCGTCACCAGCACGTCCCGCCGATCTCGCCTTCGGACGAGGACATAGTCCAGCAGGTGCCACTGACGCGACCGAGGATGCCTCCAGGTGGCCTTCTCTCGCTCCGGCAGACAGAAGAACGTGTTCTTCAGGGTGAGGCGGTGTTCTGCGCAGGTGTGGAGGAGAAGCAGGCCGTTGTCGTTGGAGCCGTGGAGACCGTGGGAACCCAGCACTCCTCTCCAGGCAGTATGGTCTGTGCCGACGCGGGCGTTGAAGTCACCAAGGAGGGGCAGACGGAGGCTCATCAGGCGGTCGTTGATTCCCTGCGGCAAACAGGGCAGTCGTCCCACGATGTCGGTCCGGATGGCGAAGGCGACGCCCGCGTCTCGTCGCTCTACCCTGGGTCGACCACTCCAGAAGAAGGTGTAACCGGCACCCACCTCCTCCAGTTGGCCTTGTTCGGAGAATCGGGTCTCGCTGAGTGCAGCGATGTCCACCTTGTAGCGCGCCAGTTCTCGTGCCACTAGCGCCGTCCTCCGTTCCGGTCGGTTGCTCCTCGGATTGTCTAAAAGGGAACGAACATTCCAGGCTGCCAGAGTAAGCGGGCTCACCCTGCCAGTCTGGAGAAAACGAGTGGGGCGACGGGAAGGAGGTGGAGAAGAAGACGACGAAGGAGAAGAATAGACAGAAGAATAGACGGAGGTAGAGGTAGAAGAGGTAGGATGAGGAGAAGGAGTATGGTTGTTGTTGTTGTTTCGAGTTTGATTGTTTCGACCGTGAGTTTTGCGTCTGCGACCGCGGTGCGCCAGCAGACGACGTGGTTCCCCAGCAATTTTTAGGCCAGCTTTTCCAGGCCCCCCCGAAGGAAGCAGTGCCCTGACCCCTGAATAGGGGCTGCTTGATGTGCCGGCGCGGCCGAACTCCACTGTCGGCCACGAATTTTTTTGGCAGTGGAAGAACGACTCGAATTTGCCAATGGCTTACGGCATTGCCGCAAGCCTGCGGTCTCCTACGGTGCACCAGATGGGCGCGTGTCGACGGTGCCAATTCGGAGATCCATCCCACCGGCTGATCAACGGCGTACCAGGCGGAGCCTCGTCTAGACAATGCCGATGCGACGTTCCACCACCAACCGGCTGACAAGCGGTGTGCCAGACAGAGCCTCGTCACGACGGCGCCGACGCGGTGTTCCATCCGACCAACCGTCCACGGAGTCCGCAGTCACCTGTGCACGCGGCACAACGCGCACAGGGAGTAACCGCCCTCACCTGGTTTAGCCCGCCGGCCGAGGCGGTTGCCCGAGGTGTGGCCGCTGAGCAAAGCCCAGCTACGTGGAGCCACAGGTGAGAGTTGAGTGTGTGTGTGTGTGTGTGCATTTTTTATATAAATGCACACACACAAACACACACACACACGACGACAGTTCGACCATCGATTTCGATGATGTCCACCGTGTGCCCCACAGACTGCATTGTGAGAGCAGGGACGGTGACTTACGCAGGGGTTTATAGTGCCTGTAGACTTGCGTAGCATCTACCTACACTCTCTCCTCCTCCGCCTGGGCCCGGTGTCAAGACAGAGTCAAGAAGACCGGAGACTAGGAAGGCCGCAGGTGGATGGCTCGGAAGGATCCTCACCTTGACGTTCCACCACGCCCCCTGGTCCACACAACAATGACAGGGATTTCAACCAACACAACAGAGATTTGGAGGCTGGCACGGCCGAAGCCGCACCTGGGCGTGCCGCCGACGCCTGGCTCGGATCCCACGCTGTGGTGGGAATGCCATAAAGGCCACATTAATAAGGAGCCGGTGCAGCCTGACTCTCAGACCACCATCAGTCAAGGAGGAGGTCCAAGTTACCCAGTCAGTTGGTAACCTTCCAAGCCACGGCTTTTAGCGCACCGTGATAGCTTCAAGCGCGTCAGATTGATTATAGTGAGGAGGAAGTGCGCTGAGTCGTCGACCTCACTCTCCCTTCCCATTCCCACACCCCAGCCGCTGTCCGAGCCGGTCAGTAGACTGGAGTGGGGAATGGGCACACACACATGGGTGAGAGTGGTATCTGCTTCATTTGAATGGGTTTATGCAGTGAGGCCAGATGTCTGTAACCGTTTGTCGTGGCTGCGATTGCCCATTTGGGCTGGCCTCGAATCCATATTTCATCGTTGACTCCACACGCTGGTAGGGCTTCTGCATTAGTTGGATGTGGAAAATCTCTCCAAATGGTGGAGTAGGAGGTAGGCCGTATTCACAATTCAGATTGGCAAAGGTGAAAGATTCGGGTTGATTATTTGAAGAAGAAGAAGAAGAAGAAGAAGAAGAAGAAAAAGGGCTCACCGGAACAGGTTTATTTAGATGCTGACATTTCGAAGAGCTTTGTCGGTTCTCCATTGTCAAAGCATAAAATGCACCTAAACGACCAGAAATCCCAAGTGGCGTGTTACGTTGGTCGGCCTCATGCTGATCGATTTTTCTCTCCTCTCGCTGCCTCGGCCTCTCGGGGGATGGTTGACAGGCTTTTTGTCTGCGTGCTTCGTGGGTCACCACTCCGTCGGGGGGAGGTGACTGAACAATCGATAAGTAGTCCTAAAGGGTTTTGCTAAGGAGGCCTTATCTACTGACAGAATTTAACCGGGTCATGTTAAAGAAATGATGGCAGGCAACTCAGAACAAAGTGTATATGTCCCAGGCTGTCTGTCCATGCCTTCGTTCAGGGCCGTGAACGTCTGGAGTCGTTTGCCGGATCTGATGCAGTTGCAGAGAAAGCAACTACGTCGGAGAAAGTCGGAAATGGCCGAAGACGCGAGTGGCCGAGCATGCGGCAGTAGTGGGGAGGAATGACGCCAGCTTTCATCATCTTAGTGATGAAGGCGGGGGATGCTCATGAGGATAAGCAAGTGTGTTCCTTGTGCCTTCATTACCCTTTTCTGCGACTGTCTCTGATGATGGGTTCGTGTGAAAATCGAAACGCTCGACCAGTAAACTTCTTTCTACAGTGGTCGCATCTTCTTGTTCTTCTGAACTGCTTCCTGGAACTCGTCTTTTCGCTTCTATAGGCAGGATCTTTCTGTCGTTGGTTTGACGCCCACAGAGACCGCCCTCCTGTTCAGGATTGGGCAGTGTAACGCCTCCGGCGTGCACAGTCTCCATGTCCCTGACGCAAACTCCGTGGTAGGAATATCTTATTCACAATTTTCGAGCCTATAGGAAAGTGTCGCAATCAGCCGGAGGGCAGGAAACTGCCGGCGTTTAGGGGCCCAGGAATCATCCAGTCAGGCATTAACCTGATGATGGTTGACCTTCACGTGAGACAGAGTCAATCGCACCTTCATACATTAAGCTTGTAGGTCTAGAGCTGATCACACGTCAGGGACGCTGAGTGCTGCCCAGCATCTGTACAGAATACACGCTTCCTCAGAAGACAAGAAGAAAAAGATGCGATCGCTGGGACAAGGAGTTTACTGGTCTGACGTTTCGTATTCTCACTCAAACCCATCATCAGGGACGGCTGCAAATAAAGTTTGTGGGGTACAAAGACCGCAGTACGTTACTGCCGAGGGGCCACAGGAGTACTATAATTAACAGCCCTCGGGATCACCACTGGCGGTCTCCATTAAGACGATGATGGCTTGTCAGTCAGCGTGCGAGTCGTTAATTGCCACAATTTCATCATCCGTGTTGGATGTTGACGTGATGATGACTGGGCAGTCTGGCCTGCTGTCACCGGGATAGTTGCCTGCCCGCGCCCTCCCCACGTGACTTTCTCTCCTGATCAGGGGATATCCCAGCAAAGAATATGGTACTGGGAGGCCATTGCGTATGTTGGTGGATTGAGGGCCCCCTACTGGTGCTTTCTCATGTTCCCTTATAAACGGGACTGGACCCTGGACGCCCTGGTAGTTATGGGTCACCTGTGCCCCTAAAACGGATCAAGTAGGAGATGCGCTGGACCAACACAGGGGCTAGATTGGGGCGCGGGAGGCCTTATTGGAAACGCAAATCCATAACAAATGCCAACATCTGGGCTACGGTGGTACGTCCATCGGCAGACCCACGCCGCGCCCATTGGGATTCGTGCAGTTCTCTGTTCTTCTTGTATAAAGTTCTAGTCCGCGTACGTTGTGGACAAGTACGCCTAGGTGCGGGTTTTCGTCGTGCTAGCAACCTGCGCCCTCTCACCTCCCCCCGACCTTCTTGACTCTGTCTTAATACCGGACCCAGGCGGGGGAGATGGACAGGGTGCGGTATATGTAG